CCCCCCCCCCCCCCCCCCCCCCCCCCCACCCCCACGCAGCCTTAAAGCCACCTTGGCCTCGGGCCTTAAGCCTCGGCCCCCAGCTAGCCCTGCGCCGAAGCCCCGCGCCATGGGCCATAGGCCCGAGGCCATGGGCTTTATTTCTTAGGACCCAGTTAAGCATGCCCAAGCCATGCCACGGAGGCATTGGACATCATACCTCTCGCGCAAGCCTCGGCCCTAGGCCCTAGGCGCTAGGCCCTCGTCCTGGCCCCCCCTATGCCCGATGCATCAAGCTTCAGCCCTAGGCCGGCCTTGGGCTTCAAATGTTCGGCCTGAGCTCTTGTGCCCTAGGCCCCAGGCCATCGGGCGCTAACGCCCTGCAGCGCTGAGGCTTTGCACTTCAGGTGCCGATTGCAACGCCGAGGCGCAGTGCGCGTGCATCCCCTCCAAGGCCCCACCTACTGGGGCCGTCCTGGAGCGTCTCGGGGCCCTCTTGGATTGGGGCCGTCTTGGGTTCTCCAAGAAGGCACCGCAAGGGCGCCAAGAGGGCTCGCGTCCAGCCCCAGGCCCTATCATGATATAGAACGTGGTTGGGGCCTTGTCGGGGCCTTCTTGGACCCGTCTTGGGCTTCACTAGGGTCACTAGGGCCCTCAGAGGGGGCTCCAGGGCTCGAGGGCGCTCCAAGTGGGGCCTACAAGTCGTCGCGAAGACGGCCCGTTTTCGTGACGCGTTGTAGGGCCTTTATTCATGCCCTCTTGGGGCCATCTGGGAGCGCCTTCGGGTCACTCTTTGAGCGACCCTGGGCCTTCTTGGAGCCGCCTTGGGTTTTCCAAGAAGGCTCCACAAGGGCGCTTGGGCCAAGAGGGCTCGCGCCCAGCTCTCTACTCTGACTCTACTCTACGCCTCTATGCTCTATCATGATCTAGCTAGCGGCTAGCGTGGTTGGGGCCTTGTCGGGGCCTTCTTTGGCCCGGCTTGGGGCGCTCTTCGGCCTTCCCTAGAGGGCCCTCGGATTGGCCCAAGAGAGCCCCAGGACGCCCCCAAGCGGGGCCTTAACTTGTCACGAAGACGGCCCGTTTTCGCAACAAGTTGTTGGGCCTTGTAAAAACCCTTTTGTGACCCTCTCAGAGCGTCTCGGGGCCCTCTTGGAGGCTTCTTGAAGCACTTTTGGAGCGCATTCGGGACCCCTCTGGCTTTCGGGCCCCCCAGGGGAGAGGAGGGGGAGGGGGGGAAAGAGGAGGGGCCCGAACAATTCACACCTGGAGGTGAGTCGCCGGGGCCCTCAGGATTCCGCGGCCCTTGTAGGAGGGGGGGGAGGAAGGAGATGATGATGGGGGGGGGGGGGGGGGGGGAGAGGCCCGAACGAATGACACCAGGAGGAGGCGAGTGGTTCGGGCCCCCGTGGACGTCGGGCTTTCCAGAACGCGGGGAGCGGGGGGAGGAGCAGGGGGGGGGGTGAACGACTCACAGCAGGAAGTGACTCATTCAGGCCCTTCAGGATTTCGAGCCAGTCTGGAGCACGAAGGGGGGGGGGCGGGGGAGGTGGGGGAGGGGGGGGAGGGGAGGAGGGGCCCGATGGATTCATGCCAAGATGCGACTCACTGGCCGCTGGTCGAGTTAATTTTAGTAGTTGCAGGTAAAGTTTGTTAAATTGTTTCTCACAGGAGCGCGCTTGAGTTGTCTCTCTCTGCGTGTCTCTTCTCCTTGTTTGCGCGTCTCCTATCCCATCCTATCCCTATCCCATTATGCCCTCCACCTTTTTCCTGCAGGGGCGCAGGGCCAGGGCCCAGGAAGGCGCGCCTGCCGCAAGCCTCCCACATTGCTTCTCAGAAGCCCGACGGTCGTTTCAGAACAGGTTGTTCCTTCATGGATTTCGGGGTGTTTCTTTCTGGGCCCGGGATGTTTCCTGGGGGCCCGACTGCGGCGACGCGCTGAAGCAATTTTTGGGGTGCCCAGTTTTGCCGCCCGTGGGGGGCGACGGTTCTCAGGCTGCCTTCGGCCTATGTCCGATCCCTTATCCCGCCGCCGTGCATGGGCGTGGGTTCGCGGGCGTTGTTCGGGATCTCGCGGTGTCCTTCCTCGACGCCTCCTGGGGCTCAAGTGGCAGTCGCTGGCCTCTTGGAGACGATTTTTGGCTTCTTGGGGGCTCTTGGGAAGGCCGTTGGGCCATGGGACTTCTTGGGGTTGTGGGGGGGGGCCTCGGGGCGTCTCGGGGGCCTCTTCGGGCGTTCTTGGGGCGGGGGGGCGGTGGCGTTCGATCTCGCCCCCCGCCCCGCCCAGATTCGAAGGCAACGATTCTCGCAGCGTTTGAACATTGCCGCCCCCAGAGTCCCGCAACAAGTGGCGGGGAACGGCGGCGAGGCTCAATATTTGCAAGAACGCAGTCTGGACCTTCAGGGGTGATGATTGAGGCTGCAAGACTTTAGGACTGTAGGATGCACCCACTCTGCGCCCGAGGCACAATGCCGGATCGCGCTCCGCGTGTCTTTCCGAGGGGCCTCGCGGGGGCGCGAGGGTAGCTTGGAGTCGCGCATTCAGGATTCAGGGTTTTGTTGTTTGAAGGGCCCCCCCGCCAGTTTTCCGCCCCAGCCCCCGCCCCCCCGAGGAGTGCGCCACGGCCGATGTTGGCAAGCAGGCCAACCAGAAGGCGTTCGCTCAATGGCAGTCTGATTCAGTCACTGTCCGTGGCAAGTTGGGCATCAGCAGTTCTTACAAGGGATGGACGTCGAAGGCGGACGTCCATTTGCACGGTGTACCGAATCGCCCCAATATTCATGACATTCTCGATTGCGCTTGGGCGGTTCGGATCCAGTCATTACAATGTTCCAAGAAGAGCAAGAAGGGCAAGCGCAGTACCAACGAGCTGAGCGCTGCTGGCGCCGCAGAGAGCACTGTCCCGAAAGATTGTGATGTTCGGGCAGGTTGGTTTGCCAACTTGAGTCAGTCTGTCCTGCGGTCTCCATGGAAGCAGGGAACCGGTACCCTGGCGACGTCCACGGTGTTGTACTCGTTCGAGATGGACTACGCGTTGAGTGGTTCAGACATGATGCGCATGCAGGGCTGGCCGGACATTGATTTCAGTGCTTTCTCTAGCAACCAGCTTCGCCAGTTGAGCGGGGAGGCGTTCTCGCTCCCGTGCGCCGCTGCCGTGCTCTACCCTTTTTATTTGTGCCCCTACATGCCATGGTGGTCAGATCCATGAACTTCGGTATTCCAGGCGAGGTCACTATTCAATTATTTAACTTTTCCTACTTTAGCTGTGACCCTTCACGGTGAAAGCGATGAGGATGTGGGGCGCAGCACGCAGGTCGTTCAAATATAAGTCAGGTACGTTTTGTCTGTGTCTGTGAGAGTGAGCCCACATCTTCTTATCTGTATGCTGTATGCTGTTTGCTTTGACGTTTTCGGAACGGGGCCGAAGGGGGAGCCTCGGTGACCCTTCGAGCGACCCAGAAGCGAGGGCGGATCAATCCCCGCCCTCACCTCTCCATCCGAGCACGCGCCGCCATGGGCGGACCTAGGGGCCGAAGAGCCGACCGTTATGCCGCTATGCCATAGTGCCATAGTGATAATGACTTTTGGATCGGCAGCAAATGGGACTACCAGAGCACCTAGCCTGGGCCAACAACGACAGCCGAAATTCTAGACGCTTCGCGCATCCCCACCAGCCCGTCCAGAAACGACGCCCAGGCGAGTAGAGGGTCGTCCTGAGGGGCTTTTCGGCGTCTTGGGTGCCTCGGGGGGGCCTCTGTGGGCCGTTCGGGATCCTCCTTGGGGCCTCTTGGGGCCTCTTGGGGCCATCTTGGGGCCTTTGGGGGCCTCCTGGGCGCTTCTTGGGGCCTCCTGGGCGTTGCTTGGGTGCCTCTGGGGGGTCTATTGGGGTTTCTTGGGGGTCTCCTGGGGGCCTCCTGGGGGCCTCTTGGGTCTTGGGAGGCCTCGGGGCCATCTTCGATGAGATCGATCAACGAAGGGGGGTTCCCTAATTACAGTCACCCCCCCTCAGGAGCCGCGATCCTCGTGAGGGGTGTCGAATTTTAGCCCGCCCAGGGGTCGATCTTGGGCGCTCCAACGCGCCGCGGAACCCCCTGTCCAGGTCAGCGGGGGGGGGTGGGAGGAGGGGTAAACCCCTCCCCGAAGGGGAAGAGGGAGGGGTGGAAGAGGAAAATCGTTAAACCACCGACGCCCAGAGGGCTGGTGGGACTCCATCGTAGCATGCGCGCTGCAGCAGACACGTCACATCATGCATCACAGAAGCAGGTTCCGTGCACGAGCAGCCGAGGATAGCGGCCTAGGGCCTGAGGTTCTAAGGGCGAGGGCCACGTCTAGGCTTGTCTAGGGTCTAAGAAGGGGCCAGGGGCGGGGTCACGGCGTCCCAGGGCGTGAGAAATATATCGTTCTCGCTGGACGGGTTCAGGCACTTAGTTGGAGGCAATTCCCGCGGGGTGTTTATGCCATGCGTTATGCTATGTGCCATGCGCGCTGTGCTGTGCACGAGAAGTGCGCGGTTCTGACCCCAGAGATTGCAGATCAGGCGGCGTTACTCTAGCTAGCCTCTGGCCTCGTTGGGCGCCCCGCCAAGTGCCCCCCCCCCTGCACTCGGCTCACAATGACACCAGGGAACGCAGTATAAAGTAGACTCGTAGGCGAGGAAGGGAGGAGGGGGATGGGTTTGGAGCGGGAGTGCGCGTCGAGAGGCGGTGGAGGAGGGCGATGCCCCCCTCGCCGCCCTCGCCCTCCTTCCTTCGACGCCCCCTCTCCGTCCGCATCTTCCTCTTCCTCCTGCATCTCTCTCCCCCCCCATCATGTGCCCCTCTTACACCTCCTCCTCCTCTAACGGTAACGGCTCCCGCTCGCTATAGTCCCGATCCAAGTGTAGTAGCGAGCTTCAGTTGTGGAGCGTTGGCGTCGTACTCAGCCTTTTGGCTCCATTGTCTTGAGAGGCACCAGGGTCACCTCACTTGGGCATTGCAGCGGGCCCCACTCACTCACTCGCATTCTTAAGTCTGGCAGGTTTCGGATGGCAGAGCCCGGCCACGGCGAGGAGTCAGACGACGATATTGAGTCTCAGGCGGTTCCCAGTGGCACACAGGGAGTGGGCGATGCCGCCGTTGCAGATTGGATGAAGGTAGACGAGGAGGATGTCGGCAATGAGGCGGGGCTTGGCCCGGCCAGTTCAGTTGGGAAGAAGCCGCACCTTGAGGGGTCCAAGGGGGCTGCGACTGCGAAGGTCCAGGTCAGGCTCTGCAAGATCTGTCACGACAGCAGTCGAGATGTCGAGTGGTTCGAGGCGTGCATCTTGTGGCAGGACCCCGCGACTGGAGACGTGGTCACCACTCCAGTTGGATGGGTATGCAGGGTGTGTGGGGAGGTGTGCGAGGCTTTCATCGAGCATGGCAACGTCGAGACCATCATCGAGAAGTTCAACAACGACCCCGACTTCAAGGCGCAGTTCAGCGGCGGGCGCATGGTTCGCATGAAGACACAGCAGCCTACGTGGTGTCCCCAGTCGGTCGTCCTTCGGCACGTTCGCGATTTCGCCTTGCACCAGGACGTCGCCTTCATCGAGGACACCGTCTTCCGCGCGCATTTCAAGGCCCCCTTGGATTCGCCCCAGGTGCTGCCCTACAACGCCGAGCTCGTCGACTGGGAGGGCACGAGGCTCAAGGGTGTCTTCATGACCTTGGAGAGCGCCAGAGCGAGAGAGCTGCCCTACAAGATTGTTACCATGAGGTCGATGACACAGTGCCTGCTGGACACGCAGCTCCTGAGGAGCGAGGAGACTTTGCACCCGGACCACGCCCGCCAGATGTGGAATTTTGAAGACAGGACACAGCGCGACGGCAGGCCAAAGATGATCATGGGAAAGAACTTGAGCAAGATCGAGTCTTACGATCACTACGCGACCTTGGCTAAGGACTACAACGCTGCACAGGCGGCGGCGGGCGATCGAGCTCTTCACGGCGACGCTGGGGGGATCGGCGGAGGCGGTGGAGGCGGCGGCGGCGGGGGCGTTGGAGGCGGCGGGCTTCCTGGCGGCAGCTTCGTCTCCCGGAGCAGGTTCGGGGCATCCAGCGCTGCGTCCGCGATGGCGCCGCCGCCGCCCACGCCAGTTGCTCCGAGGGCGAAGGCCAAGGCCGGGGCTGGCAGCGGCGCAGCGGCGGCAGCCAGGTCGGCAGCCGCCTCAGGAGCTGGTCGCAGCGCCAAGCGAGCTTCGTCGGCCGTGGCCGATGTGTCCAAGCGGTCGAGGGCAGGCGGTCGCTTGGCAGCGCCTCGCGGCTCGGGCAGGTTCGAGTCCGAAGCCAAGTTGGAAGCTTCAGGAGCGGCGTCGGATGCATCTGGGGGGGCTGCGAGCGCGGCGACTTGCGTGGTCACGCCGAGGGCCGCCACCGTGCGCTCCAGCCCGCCCACCAAGAGCATCGACGAAGGCATCGGCGTGTCGATCGAGCAGATCCTCGTCCATGACTTCCAGCCTGGGCGGCAGATCGCAGGGGCGACGAATGGGTCAATATTAACTTGTCCTACACAGCTATTCCCATTACAACTCCAGTCTCTTTTATCGACCACTCCTCCTGCAGCCCTCCTCTCCTCGGGCCCCCTGGCCCTCTGAGCCGCAGTTCCGATCCCGCCTCCTCTGCAGGCGAGGGATCGCATCAGGAAGTTGACTGCGCTTGGGCAGACGACCGAGGCAGAGAATTTGAAGTCTGAGATCGAGTTGGCGAATGCTGCCCGGAATTGCCAATACGAAACCTTGAAGACTGCTTCGCTCATTGATATCCTTCCAGACATGGAGGCCCTGCATGAAGAGGGCCACGTCTTACCCGCCAAATCCGCAATGATTTACATGAAAATGTACGGGCAGAGCTTACTGAACGATGGGAAGTACCTTGAATGGGTCAAGTGCGTGTGGCCTAGAAGCGTCGCCCAGCAGGAGGAGAACGGCTCTTGGAGTATCCCGCCGCCGCTTCCCGCGTCGGACTGGTCGTACATCGTGCCTCGCTGGTCAGTATTGGTCAGCAGCCTCAGCCAACAGGAGGGTTCGATGGAGTTCTGGTGGGGGACCCTGTTTAACGATGGTTTCTTATCTCTCCTGGGCGAGCTCGAGGACCCGAGCAGGAAGGAAATCACATCCGAACAAGTTGGCGGCATGTTCAGTTTGGCCAACGCTTTCGTGGACTTCTACCACACAGAGAACTCGCGCGTGCAGCTCTCCACAGACTTCCAGGACCTGTTGGTTCCTATGCTGCGCGTTCTCAGGGGCATCGTTGCAGTATCTTGTTCGTTTCCCTGCGTGGCTGGTTCCACGGCTGAGGACGTCGATTTCGTGTCTCCCACCCGGAAGGCTAAGGCCAAGATAGAGGCTGGAGTGATTGAATCTTTGGATCAGGTCGCCGATGCATGCCGCACGGCGAAGGCGTTGCGCTTGCGTCTGCGTAACAAGAGTGGCGTGTGGGTCAGTCGCATTGACGAGTTCCGGAGAGTTGTGGGGGCCGAGTCCACGACAGGCGTGGGCCTTGTCCAGTTGCACGCCAACGTGTCGACCATGGCGCATGACTTAGCTGGCAAGGACGTCGACGAGCAGAGGGACGCGATCATCGGCCTCCTTAAGGCTTGGATGGAGGGGCACAATCAGTGGCAGTCGCCTTCCTTCCGCTCCAACACGACCCCATGCACAGAACGCTTGTTGGCTAAGATCTTGGTGTTCGCATGCCCCGATGCAGCGTGGACCAATTTGCCTTGCAGCGATTCTAACAAGGAGTGGGTGGACATCCTGACTGAGGCGGCAAAGACCTTGCAGAAGTCGGCCGATGCGAAGACTGCCCTGATGAGGATCCAGGAGCAGTCCGACGCTTGGATGCAGAGGTCTTCTGAGGTCATGTTGCTGGATACGCTCGGCCATGATATTCATACCTACACCGACTTTAAGAACCTCTACGACGCCCTGAAGCGCCATACCAACATGGCCAAGGGTTCAGGTGTGCCCGATTTGATTATCACGGCGATTTGGCGGTCTTTGGCTTGGGCGATCCAAGATGACACCCCGTGGGCCCAGGTCAGGGATGTAGGCGACATGGCCAAGATGGTGCTGTCGACTGATACGTCAATGAGGGAGTTCTGGGAGAGCCAGCAGCGCACCAAGGAGGCGATCACCGACTGCCAGAAGATCTCGTTGGCGAACGCGGTCTGCTTAGACTACTCCAAGCAGCCGGGCGCGCTGGCCGACACGACGGGCAAGGGCACCGAGATCGCGAGCGTCATGCTGACTGCCTACAAGAAGCTGGTGGCGTTCATGGAGAAGCCGCCCGAGTTCACCGACGTGCCTGTCGGCCAGGAGACCTTCGCGAAGCTCGCCAGTGCGATCAGCCCGCACATCGATTCATATCGAAATCGCTTCGCGATGTCCCACCCTAAAGCAGCCGTTCGAACGTTGCTCGTTTCTTACGCCGTAAGAAACGAGCAACGTTTGAGCGATTGTTGGAAGTCGTTCTGGGTACAGGCCGGAGATGACAGGAGGTGGGGGGGAGGGCGGCGGGGGAGGTGAGGAGTCGCAAGAGACGCAGAGGAGGCGACATGAGCAGGAGGGGGGATCAGCGGACGTGGAGACAGGAGGAGATGAGGGGGAGGGGGGAACCAGGCAGGCCCTTGCGCGTCACCTCGAGGCCTCGGGTCGCTATTGGAAGGGGAAGGGCGAGAAAGCGACATGATTGCTTTTTCGCTGCAACCTTCCATGGTTATGTGATCTTTCGGGGCATACTGGGATCCTGTGATGCTCCAGACTCGCTCCGAGGACCTAGGAGATCTTCTCTGTTGGTGGGTCTGGAGGCTGGAGGATCTCGGATCTAGGGGATCTACGGGGGGGCTCCTGCGATTCAAACGGGGGCGGGTCACTCGTCGGGCCCACGACCCTCGCGAGGGATGTCGCCGCTTTGTCCTCCCATGGGGGCGCTCGAACATTCCGCGGGGCCCCCACGGCCCTGCCCCCCCCTCCCTTATCCAGGGGGGGGGGTAAACTTTGCCCTGCCTCAGAAGGAAAGCGTTTCGAAATGAGCAGGCTCCCGGAACCACACGCGCCTAGAGGGGGTGGTCGGATAGAAAGGTACTGTCAGAGTTTGCTGGGCCGAGATGCAAGGCCTCGAGCGAGCGAGGTCTCAAGTCGACGTCGGAGTTGAAAGTGTGGGCTGGTGGCGCAGATAACGAGCAGCTGTGGCACTCCACCTTCGACTCCAAGGCCGTGGGCGCAGACATCCTCACGCACTTCCAGGCCACGTTGGCCAAGCTCGACACGAAGGAGTTGGATCGGCTTCTCCAGAGATGCGACAAGGATCCAACTTAGCTCGGGCATCAATCTACCGATCTACTCACGTTCAGCTCCACGTGTTGATGATGAGGATGGGGGGGGAGGAGGAGGAGGAAGAGGAGGTGGGCAGGAGGAGAGCGATGGGAGGAGGGCGAGGAAGGGCGGGCCCAGGAAGGAGGGGGGACCCAGCAGACACCGAGACTCGGTGACGAGGCACCGAGATATCACACTTTCATCTTCCAGGCCAAAGCTCAGTACGATGGGAGCCGTGGGCCACCGCACAGCCCATCCAGAAACGAACAGCAGGGGAGTTGGTGAACCAGGGGCGGCTGGGCGCATGCAGTCGCGCGGCCGTCTTCGGGAAATCAAGGGTCGCGAATAGTTGTTGTTTCCCGCGTTGAAGTTTAAGATGGAAGTCGGTGCAAGCTACGATGGTGCTTCGATGAGGGGGGAGGGGTGATTCGATGGCTGCCAGTTTGGTGCCATCCTGGGGCCCTCTTGGGCTCTTTTTGGGGCCTTCTCGGTGCCTTCTTTGGGCTCCTTTTCTGGGAGTATTGCATCCCTCTGTTTTGTTTTTTTGGGGGGGGCTCGGTCCTTAGCTGCTTAGCTCTTGCGCCGAGCCGAGTCTTAAACCCGCTTGCGTTTCGAAGCTTGGGGCCATGCGGGGGCCCTCTTGTGACTCTTGTGGTTCCCTTTGCTCCTGGAGCCCTCGGGGCTCTCTTGAGGTTCTCGCAGTCGTAGGGCCGTAGGGCGTGGGGCCTTCTCGGGGCCCCCTTGGATCTTTCGGGGCGTCTTGAGGCCCTCTTGGGGCTCTTTGGGGGGTCTTAGGTTAGGAGGCCTCGCGGGGTCATCTTAGGCTTAGGCTTAGGCCACACACATATATATATATCAGAAAGAAGGTGGGTTTCAACTCGGATCGCCCTCTCGGGGGCTCAAGAATGCCATCTTGGGCCCCCGCCTGGGCCGCTCTTGGAGCGCTTCGGGGCGTTATTGGGCTCTCTTGGGGCCGCCTTGGGCGTGCATCGGGGCTCTCTTGTGCCATCCCAGGGCCATCTTGACGCCTCAAGAGCCCATTGGAAGCGAAAAAGCGCCAAGGCCAAACGCATGGTTTCCTCCCCCCCCAAAGGTTTTGGATCCATTTTGGCCCAACGGGGGTGGCGGGGTGTCACTGGGGGCCTCGGGGGGGCACTTGAAACCGCCGTGGAGCCGTTTTGGAGCCTCTTGGATGCGCGTCGGAGGCTATCTTGAGCGAACTTGAGGTATGTTGGGCCATCTTGGAGGCCATCTCGGGCTCATTGAGGTCCTCGCGGGGCCATCGTGAGCCCCGATGGGCGCTCTGACACCTCGCGGCGGAGCCCGTCCAGAGGCTGCCCCCCCCCCCCGTCCCCGAGCGGGGGGAAGTTGGAAAAAAGTAACGCCCTAAACCACTTCAGGCCAGAGAGCTGCTGGGATTTGGTTCATGGGGTTGCAGCGTCCCGGCGGGGTCTGGAGTTCGGACTCTTGGATCGGGCTCGCGGTCCCTACGGGGGCTGGAGTTATTCCAACCCTCTCGCTGCCTCCCTCAGAGGAGCGCAGCGTCATGGTTTCCGATAAGTCGAAGTGGAAGGCCATGCTGGCCGATGGCGCTGCAGAGGAGCTGGACCAGGCCATTTCACAGATTTCGGATGTCATCTTGCGTGCGAACATCACGAAGCACGAGTGCATGTGCGCGAACGCGCTACTCAACAGCAAGCACAAGAAGGAACGCCTCCAGGAATTCACCCGTGATTTCACCCGCGTCACGCGGAAGGACGCTGCCAGGGTGTTCTGCGAGGCTTTGTTTTCTAAGATGGCCCCCGTGTTGCGGGGCGAGTAGGAGTCTTAAGAATTTGAATGAGTGAGGGGAGCGGGGGAAGTAAGAGGGAGGGAGGCAGAAGTGAGAGGGAGGGGGGAAGTGAGAGGGAGGAGGGCAGTGAGAGTCGACCCTCGGTCTCAAGCGTGTGGCGCCGCTCGCAGCAGGAGTGAAGAGGCCACTCAGAATGTTGCAGGCGCCGGGGAGCCTGTCTCGAAGTTTCGTTGTGGTGCGAGGCGTGGCAGGCTGGAGTCTTTTGATGTCTGATGGTGGTTTGTGAGACAAGGTTGAAAACGAGCAAACCCGAGAGGTTGCAGTCCTGGCCCTCGTCGTCGCCGTCGTCGTCGTCCTCTTCCCCCTCCCCCCTCCCGTTCCTCCCCCCCCTCTTCCTCCTCCTCGCCCTCCACGCCCTCTTCCCTCCTCCTCCTCATCATCCCCCTCCTCCTCCGCCCCCGCCCCCCTGGGCGCCCGCTGGAGCCCTGGGGGGCCCAGGAAAAGGCGCCGCCCAAGGGGGGTTCTTCCACCGCCCTTCTGCCCCGCAAGTTGAAGCCCGCTTGGGCTTAGGCCCTTCGGCGGCGCGCCCAGTCGAGTCAGTCAGCGTTGTCTTGGCTTCGATTGATGTCCGAATGCGAGTCTGAGCTCAAGGGCCCAGAGCCCTAGATCCTAGAGTCTTAGAGGTCCCACGGGGGGTGGGGGTGGGAGAATGGGGGGGGGGGGAAGGTGATGGGGGAGGACGGGGGAGGCAAAACAAAGGGGAGGAGGTGGATGAGACGGATGGCCACAGGACGCACGTCGGCAGGGGGAGGGCGGCCGCTTGGGGGAGGCGGGGCAACCGTTAGTAGGAAGAGGGTGGAAAGGGGGGCGGCCGCGGCAGGGGGCGGGAGGTCGCGGGGCGGGGGGAGCGACGATGAGGGCGGGCCTCATGAGGTCCACGGCGGGGCTTCGGGCCCGGATTTCAGAGGGGCCCGCCCCGACCAACGGCAAGGTTCGGCCCCAGAGGGCCAGGGTAGGGCAGTAGGGCATAGGCCCTATGCCCTACTGCCCTATGGCATAGGCCCTATGCCATAGGGCCTCCATAGGGCCTAGGGCATGGCATAGCATAGCATAGGGCCGACTCTCTCGGGCCACCTTCGCCGAAGGTGGCCCGCGAGAGTCTTGTCTGGGCGCCAACTCCATTCCCCCCTCCCTGGCCCTGGCGCCCCCTTTGCTGGCGCCTCTTGCCCGCCTTTCCATTCTGCTTGTCCAGGGCCGTGGGGCCATGGGCCATGGGGGTCAAGATCGAACGTCGTTTGCTTTGCTCTTTCGCAGTTGTTCGTGGGATTCCGAGTGAGGCCCCATAACCCCCAGCGCCCGTCGACGGCAGTCCCGAGGGGGCGCCGCCAGGCCACGGGGGCTCGACGTCAGGGCGCCCCGAGGGGCCAGAGGAGCGTAGGCCAGAAGAGGAGACAGAGGAGGAGGAGGACGCGGAGGCAGAGGATGAGGAGAAGAAGGATCGACGCCACCGCGCCGGAGGAGGTGGAGGAAGTGGAAGAGCACGAAGGCGAGGGGGAGGAGGACGAGGAGGACAAGGCTTCACACAACGACTCGTCGTCGACCCTCACAGGCGCGTCCACGGATGCTGCGCCCAGTCCGTTGATGGATGATTTCCGCAAATGCAAAAGGAGGAGCTAATACTAAGTAGTACTACTACTATTACTACTACTACTACTACTACTACTACTACTACTACTACTACTACTACTACGGCCACTACTACTACTACTACTACTACTACTACTATTACTACTACTACTACTAGTATTATTACTACTACTACTACTACTACTACTACTACTACTACTACTAATACTACTACTAATACTAATACTAATACTAATACTACTACAGACGAGTGGTGGAGACGGCACATGGGCTTAACCATAGATTGAAGTTGCCTCGTTCCAAGCCACGCTTTAGAATTCGATCCCGCCCTTGTCAGGCTCCATGGCATCAGCAGTGCAACTCTGAGCTGTAGAGTTCCGTTCGCCTACGGCGAAGTGGGGGTCCCCGCCGATCGCAGGGTTGCTTTTGCCGTTTGCACAGGTTCGCTCAGCGCGCGCCTGCCGTTCGCCCGCGCCGTCGGTTTTTTTTGCGCGCTTGGAGCGTTCTGCGTTGCACTTTCTCGCCCACCCTGCAACGCTCTCTTCCTCATGGTACGCAGAAGCCGGAGACCACCGGAAGAAGCGCATGCTCACGGGCATCTGACGATGCGTCTCTCATGCGAATGTCAGGCCGATTCTCTTTCGGCGTTGTTCTCGGGCTTAGAGTGTGGATTGCTCGCATCAGGAGCGCAATAGTTCAATTTTACCGAACATGTCCCGAACATGTCTGAAGCAATTTTCAAGCATTTTTCGAACATATTTCGAACATATTCGATTTACATTTTTTCCCAACCATCCTGTGGTGTTGGGTCCTCGTTTTGAAGAGACGGTGCCCGCGTCCTCTCCTCCTCCTCCACCCCTCCTCCTCCCTCCTCCCCTCTTCCCTGCGTTTCACCACCCAGGGCAGCGCTTCGTAGCCCCATAGGGAGCTCCACCGAAGGCCCCAGTGGGGGTGTTCGCATGCGGTTCCCCCACCCAGGGCAGCGTTTCGTGGCCCCATAGGGAGCTCCACCGAAGGCCCCAGTGGGGGTGTTCGCATGCGGTTCCCCCACCCAGGGCAGCGTTTCGTAGCCCCATAGGGAGCTCCACCGAAGGCCCCAGTGGGGGTGTTCGCATGCGGTTCCCCCACCCAGGGCAGCGTTTCGTGGCCCCATAGGGAGCTCCACCGAAGGCCCCAGTGGGGGTGTTCGCATGCGGTTCCCCCACCCAGGGCAGCGTTTCGTAGCCCCATAGGGAGCTCCACCGAAGGCCCCAGTGGGGGTGTTCGCATGCGGTTCCCCCACCCAGGGCAGCGCTTCGTGGCCCCATAGGGAGCTCCACCGAAGGCCCCAGTGGGGGTGTTCGCATGCGGTTCCCCCACCCAGGGCAGCGTTTCGTGGCCCCATAGGGAGCTCCACCGAAGGCCCCAGTGGGGGTGTTCGCATGCGGTTCCCCCACCCAGGGCAGCGTTTCGTAGCCCCATAGGGAGCTCCACCGAAGGCCCCAGTGGGGGTGTTCGCATGCGGTTCCCCCACCCAGGGCAGCGTTTCGTGGCCCCATAGGGAGCTCCACCGAAGGCCCCAGTGGGGGTGTTCGCATGCGGTTCCCCCACCCAGGGCAGCGTTTCGTAGCCCCATAGGGAGCTCCACCGAAGGCCCCAGTGGGGGTGGCAGGGAGCTCCAGTGGGGGTGTTCGCATGCGGTTCCCCCACCCAGGGCAGCGTTTCGTGGCCCCATAGGGAGCTCCACCGAAGGCCCCAGTGGGGGTGTTCGCATGCGGTTCCCCCACCCAGGGCAGCGTTTCGTAGCCCCATAGGGAGCTCCACCGAAGGCCCCAGTGGGGGTGTTCGCATGCGGTTCCCCCACCCAGGGCAGCGTTTCGTGGCCCCATAGGGAGCTCCACCGAAGGCCCCAGTGGGGGTGTTCGCATGCGGTTCCCCCACCCAGGGCAGCGTTTCGTAGCCCCATAGGGAGCTCCACCGAAGGCCCCAGTGGGGGTGTTCGCATGCGGTTCCCCCACCCAGGGCAGCGTTTCGTAGCCCCATAGGGAGCTCCACCGAAGGCCCCAGTGGGGGTGTTCGCATGCGGTTCCCCCACCCAGGGCAGCGTTTCGTGGCCCCATAGGGAGCTCCACCGAAGGCCCCAGTGGGGGTGTTCGCATGCGGTTCCCCCACCCAGGGCAGCGTTTCGTGGCCCCATAGGGAGCTCCACCGAAGGCCCCAGTGGGGGTGTTCGCATGCGGTTCCCCCACCCAGGGCAGCGCTTCGTGGCCCCATGGGGAGCTCCACCGAAAGCCCCCGTGGCGCAGTTCGCATGCGCTTCCCCCACCCAGGGCAGCGTTTCGTGGCACCATAGGGAGCTCCACCGAAGGCCCCAGTGGCGCAGTTCGCATGCGGTTCCCCCACCCAGGGCAGCGTTTCGTAGCCCCATAGGGAGCTCCACCGAAGGCCCGCCCCGGTGGCGCAGTCCGCATGCGGTTCCCCCATCCAAGGCAGCGCTTCGTGGCCCCATATGGAGCCCCACCGAAAACGGCACCCACGACGCGTTACCAACAATTGCTTATGGTTGGGTCTTTCGCCAGGATAATTGTTTTTCTACTGCGTGTCTTTTCCACACTGTTCTTTCGGCAGAATCACCATCACCATAAGTCGGAGGGGGGAAGGAAGTGGAGGATGAGGAGGAAGAAGAGGAGGAGGAAGATCCCCTCCCCCTCAACCTGGGCAGAATCCAATGCCGGGACCGGTGCAAGGGCCAGAGCCTCCTGCGAAAAATTCGCGCGAGTGCGGCTCTCTTCCGCCGAGTGTTCGCGGAGGTCCTGGCTTCCTGGTCAAAATTGGCGGTGCGCACAAGGGGGTGGGAAGGGGGAGGGCTTCTGAAAAGGAGGCTGCTTCTTAGAGGGCGCCGGCCTTACATCTATGGATGTAGGGCCCGCGCCTTCTGAGAAGCAGGGGTGCTTCTAAGAAGCCCTCCCCACTCCCTCCACCCCCCTCTGCGCGTGGCCGAGTAACACATTTCACGAGAAGCCGCATCTCTCGCGAAAAGTTCGCGAGCCTCGGCCCGCCTGTGGGCAGCGCGCGCCCCGATGGCGACCGCGCGCGGGCTGGGAGCGGCGCCGGCGGCGGAGGGGGGCTCCTCTGCGGCACGCAGGCGCGCCAGGAGGACCTCGCGCTCGTCGGAGAGGTCCTGGCCGCGCGCCCCTCTCCTCTAGTCAGAAGGGAAAAAACACGCAGACACAATTGATCGTCGACCCCAGGAGAATATGGGAAAGCATGGGAAGTGGGGAGGAAGACGAAAACCCCGAAAATATTGCACCGTAGGGAGAATCCTGGGATTTGTGTCCATGTATTTATACGTCCCAGGGTCATTCATCTAAGACGAGGCCAAGACGACGACATAATCGGGTGCGGATAAATCGAGGATCTCTGCGATCCGGCGGCTCTGGAGGATGTCTCGGGCGCCGCGGCCTTCTCAGCGCGTTCCGAGACGCTCTGAGAGCGTTCCAGAAGTCTCCGGAACGCATCTATCCTCGCCCCAGCCAATCTCCGATCCTCCAGTCTCCGGAACGCATCTATCCTCGCCCCAGCCAATCTCCGATCCTCCCCTCAGATGAGGGGCGACAGCGGGGAGGGACCGGCTCTGGGGTGGGGGGGAACCATCGACTTGGCCTCGGCGATGCATCGCCGCTAGATCGGGGATAGGCTTAGGTCGGGCATGTCCCCCTACAGGCCCATGTTGGGTGACAAATGACATCAGGTCTAAAACGTGTGCAGAAATTTGCAAAATCGTCTAAAAATCGTCCCCAGACTATTTTCTCATACTTTGAACATTCCTCCTGTAGAGCTTTTGCTGTTGTTTCTGGTCTCATGGGGGCCTCTTGGGGCTTCTGGGCCCCTTCTTGGAGCCTCTTGGGGTCTCCTAGGGGTCTCTTGGGCCCAAAGGCCAGAATTTCTGGTTCCTCGTCCCCGTCTATGGCGCCGCCTTGGGGCGTTCTTCGGCGTTTTTTTGCGCCTCGTGGACAGGCCCAACTTCAGGATAGGTCCCCGAGCACAAAAAAGAGGACGTTCCTGGGCGGGGTGGGCCATCCAGCCCCCATCGGCGACGCATGGGCGATCGGGGGTCCATCCGCGGTCCCCTCCGGGGCTACCCCCCCCTAGCGTTTCGCTTGATTCGTTTGGCGAGAGGGACAGAAGGAGGAGGAGAAGGAAAAGGAGAGAGAGGAGGAGGAGGAGGAGGAGGAGGAGGAGGAGGAGGAGGAGGAGGAGGACGAGGAGGAGGAGGAGAAGGAGGAGAAGGAGGAGGGACGAGGAGGACGAGGAGGAGGGAGGCGGAGGAGGAGTAGGAGTAGGAGTAGGAGTAGTAGGAGGAGGAGGCGAGGCGGAGGGGGAGGAGGACGGGGAGGAGGAGGGGGAGGAGGAGGGGGAGGAGGGGGAGAAGATCATGCGACGGCAAGATGCGGTAAAATTCGGCTCAGGATAAATCGGGGACTTCTGGGAACTGGCGCGTCTGGATGATGTATCGGGCGCCGCGGCTGTTCCAGAGCTCTCCAAGGCGCTCCGGGGGGACTTTCTCCATGACGCCCTGGAGCGACACATCCTCGTCTTAGACCTGCCAGCCTGCCTGAGGATTGACGAAACACACAGTGGGGAAGCGGACAACTAGAGGTCACCCAGGTGAGGTCCGATTAGGGTGAGTCGGAGGATCGCACCGCATTGACGATGCGGCAAGATCCTCCGGCCCCATTTACTCCGACCCCAGCTCGGAGGCCTAAACATCCAGCGGGGAAGCGGAAAAAAAGGAGAGCCACAAGGAGAGGTGCGATGCGATGCGATGCGACACGTGTTCCAGCCCATATGGGGCGGTCCTCTAGGATGGCAAGCGTATACACGCAGTCCCGGCAACCGGTTGCAACGGAAAATGCTCCGTGCAAATGCGGAAGAGAGAAGGTACCAGGGAACGAACTGCGTGCAGACAGGCATGAACAAGCTCCAGAAGAGGAGGAGGAGGAGGAGGAGGAGGAGGAGGAGGAGGAGGCACAGGAGGAGGAGGAGGAGGAGGAGGAGGAGGAGGAGGAGGAGGAGGAGGAGGAGGAGAAGCTGTTTTTCTTCACTCTCGGAACCTCGGCCTCTGGCCGCCCTGCTTGCGGGCCGCAAAGGCAGGGTGCGTGCACCGCGGCATGCCCCCTGGGCCCAGGACGCGACGGCCTCGAGCGTCCGCGGCGCGCGTCGGCGGGGCCGCGGGGCACGGACGCGCGGCAGCCGGCGGCGAGCCCAGGGGCGAGGGGCAACGAGAGGGGGGGGGGCTAATGATAGGGGGCTGGAATGATGGGGGGGGGGGGACGTCGACCTGGGGAGAGGGGCAACGATAGGGGGGGGGGGGCCTGGGCATAGTCGGAAGCGGGCCCGGGGAGAGAGGGGCAACGATAGGGGGGGGGGGACTGGCACCTGGGGGGAGGGGGGGGGAACGTGTCGACCCGGGATCGGCGGCGCACCTCCGACACATACGTCGGCGAGTCGGCCCCCCGACAGCGAGTCCGCACGCTCCTGGGCGGGGGTTGGGCTCCTGGACCCCCTGTCGGCGATCCACGGGCGACTAGGGGGGCGATGCCCTCCCCCCCTGTGCCCATCTCCCCCCCCCCCGATCGAGGAGGAGGAGGAGGAGGAGGAGGAGGAGGAGGAGGAGGAGGAGGAGGGGAGGAGGAGGAGGAGGAGGAGGAGGGTTGCCCCTCGAAGGGGGGAAGGTCAGAGGGACTGTGCCTTCGCAGGAGGCTCGGGAGGCCTCCGGCCTCCCGAGGAGCAGCTCGAGGCCTCCTCCGCACGCGGAGACGGCCTCCGAGAGGGCCAGAAGGCCTCGGAGCAGGCCCGCCGCCCTGGCCATCGCTCGGACGTCCATTCCCTGTGTTTTTTTTAGGTTTCCTGCGTGTTTTTTTCGCCAAGTGATCAGGGATGCTCCTCGATGGTCCTCCCCGAAGGAAAAATGCACACGTCCGAGCGATGCCAGGCGACTTCTCAGGAGGCATGTCCCCTCGCGCGGACACGCCTCCTCAAGGGACGCCAGCGAAAGGGACTTCTGAGACCGCGGCGTTGGATCTGAGACCTCGGAAAGTGCGAGCGGAAGCGTCGCGCAGCGACCTTGTGGGCGAAGCCGAACGGACTTGAGACATCGGCCTCCCCCGTCTCAACAGTCCCTTTCCCTGGGGTCCCTTTTGGAACCGCGTGACTCACTTCCCCCCCGGAATGCCGCCGAGACAGGGCATGCAGGAAACGGGTTCTGGAGGTCAGGGGCTCCAAGGGCTCCCAACTTCGCGCTTCGCGCTGCGCGAAGTGCGAATAATTTCGCGCTCTCGCGCCACGTCCCAGGGAGGAGGAGGAGGAGGAGGAGGAGGAGGAGGAGGAGGAGGAGGAGGAGGAGGAGGAGGAGGAAGAGGAGAAATCGGAGCCGAACCGCGAAGCGCGAGTAACTTCGCGCCCTCGAGGGCGCCCTCGACTCGGGAGGACGAGCGGTCCCTCGGGATGGCCGCGGGGTCCAGGAACCCGTCTCCCTCGGGAACCCCCTCGAGAACCCGGGGCGACGAGAGCCCGGGCGTCGCGAGAGGCACACCTCCAGCCCTCGGTCTTTCGGCCTGCCCGGCGTCGGGCGGCAACGTCCGCGCACTCGGGACCGCCGACTCGGCCACACGCAAGGAGTGACCCTGGGCAAGAGGGACCTCTGGTGCGCGGCTTCACTAGGGGGCAAACTAACCTACCTCGCTTTTGACCACCCTCGCTTCCAAGAGATGCCAAGCGATGCCAAACTACGGCCTGTACTGGTCAGGCCGCTTGACGAGGAGGCGCGCGGTATGACGTGGCTTTGCCTGGAAGCGAAAGCGGGGTAGGCAATTCACGCCCTGATGAACGGGGGACGCGGGGTGGCCAAGCCTGGGCGCGCCAGCCGCTGCTACCGCGTCGCCTTTTCAGCCATCTGGGGGCCCATCTGTGCCCGCACCCGAGGTCACTCCGGCGAAAGGTCACTCTTACGTCTCATCGCGTCGATCCGCGACCCGGGGCGAGAACCGGCCCTGGTGAAGGGGCCCAGGGTCGGCAAGCTTGGGGACGGGGGCCTGCGACTCGCGGCTCCTCGGCCGGCTGCCGGGCCGTGCTCCCCTGCTCGATCGAGGATCGGGGGCCGAGGCTCGAGGGTCGAGGTGCGAGGGTCCAGGGTTGAGGAGCGAGGGTTGCGGCTCGAGGATCGAGGGGGGCGAGGCTCGAGGCTCGAGGGTCCAGGATCGAGGGGCGAGGATCCAGGATCGGGGGTCGAGGGTCGAGGATCGGGGGTCGAGGATCCAGGGGCGAGGATCCAGGATCGAGGGGGGCGAGGGTCGAGGATCCAGGGCCGAAGGCCGAGGGTCGAAAGTCGACGATCCCGCCCCATCCCGCCCCACCCCTGGGGCGAGGCTCCTCCGCGGCCTCCTCGTCCCCCCCCAGCGAGGCTCCTCGACCTGCCGCCGGGCCCTCTGCGCCTCCCGCTCCAGGCGCTGGCGCGCCGCGGCGAGCTCGGAGGCCTCCGAGCGCGCTTCGCCGCCCTGCGCCGCCAGGGCGGCGTTCTCCTCGGGGGCGCTCTCGGGCCGACGGCGCGGCGACGTCCGACTGCTGCTCGTCGCTGCCCTCGTCGCCGTAGTCGCCGACCTCCTCCTCCTCCTCCTCCTCCTCCTCTTCCTCCTCCTCCTCCTCCTCCTCCTCCTCCTCCTCCTCCTCCACTCCGTTTTTGCAATGACGTTTCCCTCATCGAGTCGCCTGGTAATCTAGAACTGGATATCCCATGCGTGCGCTACGCTGTGATCCAACATCGTTCTCTGAGCCGTTGAACCCAAGTTTGCGCCAAATCTAAAGCAGTAGCTTCGGCATGGAGTACAGGTCGGGCGTGCGCCCGATAAACACCCCATGTCTCCAATACGTTCCGCTTGTCCCGAATCTGGTCGTACGCGTGCACAACAAATGCTGCAGCTCCGACGCTCTGGGCGTAACCTCCGTCACAATGGATTTGTAGAGGGCGCCTCGCCTTGCATGTGTCCACAGCATTATTGAGATCAGTGACGTCCGCACCTGCAGCCAACACCCAATTACAGACAGTGTCCGGCGGAGAATTGAACTCACGCGGCCTCCATTCCACTGGGTTCGAGAAGTCCCCCTGTGGCTTGAATACATCGCCGAATGCAGTCTTCAAGCCCAGCCAGATACTGTAGACAGCAAGCTCGTACAAAAAAATGTTGATCGAGACCTCGATGTTTGCTAACCCGGCGACTGCAGTGTTATACGCGATGAATTCGAGCTGCGCTACGCCCGGGGTCCAGAAGGAATCGTTGCGCAACTTCCGGGGAAGCTCCAGGTCACGCGTGCAAGCGTCTGTGCTGGAAGCCTGACTCTCCTCAAAAGCCGCGTCGCCGGAGTCTCTTCCAGGGTACGAGGTCGGAAGACCCAGCAAGGCACAGCACCTCTTCACGAAGTCTTTACAACCACTTCTCCAAGTGTCGTAATCTGCGCAATGTGCCAAAGTTTGCCTACAGTCCAATCCCAAGACGCGGATGAAAACATCATCCAACTCCAAATGAGCACAGGCTCTGGCATGTACTGGCCCGTCTAGTCTACGCCGCTGGTCCCAGCGGGTGAAGAGCAATTTCCTCGACTGCGAACTGGACCTGCTCGGTGATGTGCGCCTGGCGCTGCGGGCGACCTCCTCGGCCCCCCGCCCACCGCTCTTGGACTTGCCGTCCTTGGGCGCGAACTTGCGAACGCCGGGCGTGGGACACTCCTTCTCCTGTCCAGTGCCCGGCATCGCCGCAGTCCCAGCACTGCGACGTCTTGCTGCGCTGGTCCACCTGGTTCTGAATCTTGGCCAGGCGGCGAGACGGTGCGGACTTGTTCGACTTGCCGCGGCCCTTCAGGGCCTCCCGAGCTGACCTGATGGTGGCCATGGCCTCGGAAATGGCGGCAAGCTCCGCCGCGGCGGCCTCGACCTCGGCAGAGTCATCGCCGTCGAACAGCTCGGAGATGTCCACGTTGCAGGACTCGAGCATGGCGCTGAAAGCCTCGAGCTCCTGACGAACGAGGTCCTGCACGTCGGCCTCGTCCTCGTCGTCCTCCTCTTGTTCTTCGTCGTCCTCGTCAGCGGGCTCGTCGACGACGTTTGTAGATCGCCCTCCGCGACTGGAACAAGCATTGCTGCGCCAGCCACCGTGGGGGCGCGACTGGTTGCTCCGCGACCTCGAGGGCGGCGGGGCGCGTCGCTCGGAGTTGTGGATGTCCGGAAACACCCGCACCATCAGTCCACGGATGCGCTGGTAGCCGTAGTGCTCGTCGGGCAGGTTGCCCACGACGCGCTCGCGGCGCTCGGCCGTGAGCCCGGCCTTGCGCAGCAGGAACCATCCCGCTACATCGTCCGGCGCGTTGAGGTCCACCTCGTTCTCACGTAGCTGCTGTCGACCCGTCCCGAAGCGGATGAGCCAGTCCGTCATTCGTTCACCTCGACGTCGGTGATGCTGTGTAGGTTCGAAAAACTGCTCGAGGGTCTCGCCATTCTGCACGAGCTTCTGCTGACCCAGATTTGCCTCCAAATGCTGTAAAACATTCTCGGTGCCGACCTGATTCCTTTGGCGCCTCTTCTCGTCGGCGTCCTCGATGTGTGCTGCAGCTGCCGGGTGCAGCTGCTCCTCCGTCATATTCAACGCTGCTGTTCTAGCTGCCCCGCTGAGCCTAAGCACAAGCTTCGATGCAATACTCTGTGTGACTGGGAGGTTCTCGCTGAGCTTCCATTCCTTCGCCTCCTGCTTGTGGTCTCTCCACATTGAAGGATCTCCGTTCCATGTCGGTATGACTGACTGTCCGAAACTATGAGAAATGTCCGTCATCTCTGCGAAAAGGCAGTCCGAGTCATGGCAATCAAATTCGGCGGCGTCGCTGATGTTCTGGGAATCAAAGAAGTCGAGCTCGGCGGCGTCGCTGAGGTTCTGAGGGTAAGGAAAATCGAACTTGGCGGCTTCGCTGAAGCTCTGGAGGTATATGAAATTTGACTCGGCGGCTTCGCTGAATTCTGGGGATCTGTGAAATTGAACTCGGCGACTTCGCTGAAGTTCAAAAAGTATGTGAAATTGAACTCGGCGGGGTAGACGTAGATGCTGGCGTCGCTGACGCTGGCGTGAAGGTTGGCGTTGAAGGCGTAGTAGGCGTTGCTGCTAGCGTCGCTGACGCTGGCGTGGGAGTTGTAGTAGGCGTTGCTACTAGCGTCGCTGACGCTGGCGTGGGAGTTGGCAGGGTAGGCGTAGTAGGCGTTGCTGCTAGCGTCGCTGACGCTGGCGGGTGTGCTGCGCAACAGCTGGGTGATGATCACAAGGAAGACGCTGGTCTTCAATTCCAATGGACGTGTCGCAGACGCCGTCGATGCTATATGGACGGCCCAAAGGCTGGGGCAGGGAGCACAGCTCCAAGCTACCACAGTTTTCTCGCACTCTCCGCGGCAGAGATCGTAGCTCAATTAGCCAGGGGCACTATTTTGAGACAAAACGGTTGCGGCAGAGCGGGCATAAGAGACAGAGCGGAGGCGAGGCGGAATAGGGCGAGTCTGCTGGAATCACAAGGAGGAGGAGGAGGAGGAGGAGGAGGAGGAGGAGGATCAGGAAGAGGAAGAGGAGGATGAGGAGAAGGAGGAGGAGGAAGAGGAGGAGGAGGAGGAGGAGGATCGTCACAACGGCGGAGACATCTGCAAAGCCTCAAAACCGATCAGTGGTGGCGAAAAGGCGAGACCGTACCCACCCAGTCCCGCCACCGAGCACACCCGATCGACGGCAGCACGTCCGATCAGCGGTCGACGAGCGCCTGTGACGGCGCACGGGCCTGGCCGCGGCGTGCGTTGAGCCTGCCAAAGTACTGTAACTTCCTGGGGGGGCTCTCTGAAGCCCTGGGCTCTGGCTGCCGGGACACTGAGGTGTCGTGTCCTTTGCCCCTGCCCCAGAAACAAGCAATGTCATCGATGACGGCCGGTGTAAACTTGCTTCCCCGACCGCCGCAGTCGAAACAGCGGCCGCATTCGCAGCGCATCCGATGCGACGCTGCACCTGCAACGGCGCCGACGGGCCGCGGAGCGGCCCCGAAGCTGCCACCGCCTGCCTTTCTCATACGCGCAGCTTCAAACTGGCAGAGGATGGTCGTCGACGCACGCTTCGCAACCGACCGAGCCTCGCACCACCGACTGTACCTGCCACCGCCCGCCTTCCACGGACGTGCAGGACCAAGCGTTGTAGCTGATGGCGGTCGGTGTGAACTGAACTGCATTGGAGGAGGAGGCGGAGGCGGAGGCGGAGGCGGACGAGGAGGAGGCGGCCTGGGCCTGGGCCCCGCCCCCCGCGGGTCCTCCGCCAGGCCCCGCAGCTTCGCCGGGTCCGCCTACGGGGGAGCGCCGGGCGGCGGGCGCGCAGGGCGAGGGGGGGCCGAGGAGCGGCCCGCGCGCGCGAGCAGCCGCCCGCGCGGGCCCCAGCGCGCAACGGAAGAGCGCCGCCCGCTCGCTCCGCGCCGGCCCTGTCTGAAGGGGCCCGGGGACACACAAGTGCACAGACACAAATGACGGGATTCCCCCATATTTCTACATACTTTCTGGGTTCTTGTCTTCCCCCCCCATTTCCCATAGTTTCCTATATTTTCCCGGGGGTCGACGATTCGTTGTGTTTGTGTGCTTTTTTCCCTCCTGACTGTCTCTGGGTCACCCATCGCGGCAGCGGGCCTCCCCCGCTCCGCATCTGTCCCTCTGTCTCATCACACCATCACCGCACCTTCCCTCTTCCCCTCTGATCGCTCTGGCCGGCCGTGTGCCCCCTGGGCCAGCGAGAGAGACACCACGTGACACAAAGGCCGCGCATACAACCTCAACACACGCGGCACCCAAGTGTCCCGAGCGCAGAAGCTGGGCGGCGCGCCCGGGAGGGAACTGAGAAGGGGCGGGCCTTCTCAGAGGGCTCAGAAGTCCCCCGGCCTTATGAGAAATCTGTTCTTCGCCTCCCCCGAAGACAGAGGAAACTTTTCAGAGAAGGCGCGTGGGACTTCTGAGAGTCCCGTCACCTTCTCGAGAAGGCTTTCTCCTTCTCACTTCAACCCCTCGCTCGCCGCCGACCAACGCTCAACGGATGAGCGCCGCTCGCTCGTTTCGCGCCCGCCCTGCCTCTGGGTCACCAGTCGTGGAGGCGCAGAACTCGGGTGGGCTTGACGGGGGCCGTGAGGAAAACAACAAGACTCAGTCTGAAATTCGGCGCGAACCCCCGCTGCAGACAGCCTGCGAAAACTGGACCGTCACGAGTCAGGACGGGCCCGTCAAGAGGAGTCGGCAAACCCGAGCTCTGGCGAACTCGAGTCTTACGCTTCCCCAAACCTACGGTCCCAGACATCGGGAGCGGCAAAGAGGGGGGTGTCCAAGAGGAGGGGGTGCAAATCATGACCGGCGGCATGTGCGCGGCCCAGCGGGGGGGCCAGGGACGCAATGAAACAAGAAGAGGCGCCATGAAATCGGGGGAGATATCATGGCCCGCGCCATGAGATCCACCCCCCCCTATGTCATCACCCCCCTCTTTCCCGCCCCCGAAGACATGCGACGTCCTGATTTTTTCAGGACGGCGTCCCTGGAAGTCCCGACCCTTTCCCCGGGACCGGCTTTTCGTCCTGAGTCGTTTTTTGACGCTCCCGGGGGCCGGCGAGGGCCCCCTGGGGCCGGAAATAGCCAAAAACCTTTGGTTTTTGGTTATTTCCGGCCCCTGGAAGAGTTTTTCGTCCTGAGTCGTTTTGTCCTGAGTCGTTTTTTGACGGCGTCCCTGGAAGAACTGGTTTTTCGTCCTGAGTCGTTTTTTGACGCTCCCGGGGGCCGGCGAGGGCCCCCCGAGGCTGAAAAAATAGCCAAAAACACTCTTTGTCCTGATTTTTTGTTCGTACGACGCGAGCATGTCTGGGGTTGGGAACTTTTGCACCTCGTGCCGCGGCGGCGGCCCCGGCGACATGCTGTGCCCTGCGAGCGAAACGGCGCGCCGCTCCGCCCCGCGGGGCGGGAGGCCCCGCAGAGCTCGGGACGTGGAGGCCTCGGGACACGGAAGTGGATAGCGCGCCGCGCCACCGCGTGGTGGCCCAGACCCGGCGGAGCGACACACATCACACACACACACACACATTGTACACCAATGTTCCCGACCCAGACATGCGACGTCCTGACTTTGTCAGGACGGCGTCCCTGGAAGCCCCGACCCCTTCCCCGGGACCGGCTTCTCGTCCCGAGTAGTTCTTTGGCGGTCCCGAGGCCCGGCGAGGGCCCCCTGGGGCCGGAAATGGCCGAAAACCTCCCGTCCTGATTTCTGTCCACGACGCGAGCATGTCTGGGGACCGTCATCGCGCCCCGCGACGCGAGGCCCAGGATGCTCCTCGCGCCCTCGAGCCGCCCCCGTCCAGAGAAGGGCAGAATCCCACCGACCCAGCAGGCAACGACGCACGCAGCGCGATTGTCTTATCCTCGAGCCCCCGGCTGTGCCGCAGCGTCTGCACCACCGTGCTCTCAGGTCGGGCGCTTCTTCCTGCAGGGGGATTTTGGAAGAACAATTAGCAATAGTCAAAACCTATGCGCAAAAAATTGAAAGTAGTCCGAACATCGTCCCCAGGCGATGTTTAAGCTATTCTGGAATACTCCACCTGTGGAGGGGCACGCCCGACCTGACCGTGCTCGAGCTACATCGCCAGCGGCCGTTCTGCCCCCCACATCCCGCCCTCCAGACCGCGAGGGCCGGCTCAGCCAGCACCGACTCGGGGCGTCGGCTCGGATCGGAGACCGCGTCGGAGGGGGCCGCACTGGCACGGAGCCGGGATCGCATCGGCTCGGCCGCGCAGGGATGCACAGCAGCGCCATGCACAAACGCCGGGCCACACCGGATCCTCAGAGCATCGGAGCCGAATCGGATCGGGCCGGCCCGAATTAGGACAAGACCCAACGCCAGAAACAACAAAATGTTGCGCTCCGCGCGGATTTCTTGGCTCAGCGCTGGACCCCCTCCCAGGCGCGCGGAGCGCGCCAGGGGCGGCGCCCGAGGCGCCGCCGGGGGGGCCCAGGCGCGGATCCAAGACATCCACCTGGAGCGCCGCAAATTTATGTCTATGGCGTTCGTCCTTCGAAGAATGGGCATCGAACCGGATCGATCGAATCGAACCGAGCCGTGTGTGGGGCAGCAGGCCGCATGCCTCCAGGTCTGCGAGCATCTGCCGGAGGTGCACGTCGTTCTGCAGCACAACCTTTCCCGCGCCGGGGCGAGGGAAGGAGGCGGCGGCGGGAGGGTCGCGCGCTGCGCGTGGTTCGCTCCACGAGGGCACCCCGTGGGGCATCTGTGAGGGATGATGGCCCGAGGAGGGGGATTACCAGGCTACCTGTAGGGTTCACGGGTACCCAAGCCGAGCTTCAGCGACGAGGCGGCCACCAGAGGGACTCTGGAGCCCGTGCAGCTGCAAGAGCCCAGAAACCAGCAAGTGTCCGACAGCAGGCATCCTCCTCGAAAGTCTGGACTGGATCCCGACAACAAAAAAAAACGATCACACACCTGATGACGCCCGAGGAGAAAGTTGGCGTCACGCGCAAGGGGGTATGGGGGAGGAAGGTGGGCCTCTCAGAAGGAGGCTGCTTCTCAAAAGGCGCTGGCCTTACGTCTGCTAGAGAAGGCCCGCGCCTCCTAAGATTCAGGAGGGTGTCGACGAAGCCTTCCCCCTCCCCCCCCCCCCCCTGGGGAAACCAAACGGTACCGATACCGCTACTCTTAGGTCGGGCATGTCCTCCTACAGGCGGGCTTTGGAAGAACAGTATAAAAAGTACGCAAAACAGACCAACAAATATACAGAATTAGTCAAAGAATCGTCCCCGTGTTAATCTTTGGCTACTCTTGAATGCTCCTCCTGTAGAGGGGCAGGCCCAACCTCACGCCACTCCCCGGACCTCTCGTGAGCAGGGACCGACCGTCCCGGCATTCCTATAGTCATACCACGAAATGTTCCTAGAACCCGAAAATGTTCTAAGAACCAGAACAATGTTCTTAGAACATAAACCCGATGTGTTAAAACGAGACGGTCCCAGCCAGAAATGTTCGAAGAACATTTCGTGGGAACCACAAAAGGTCCTTAGAACATTGTTTGGTAGGGCTAAAGGCGAGCCAGGACGCTTCGCCACTGCTTGAGTCTCCCTGCTGCTGCTCCCGAGATCTCCGGACGTCGCGACGAGCACGCGACCGGCCAGCATCTGCGGACTCCGCCCAACGCGAGGGGGGCAACGAACCGAGGGGGGCGACGGACGGTGCACCCTTCGTGCACCTTCGGGGCCGCAGGGGGCCCCTTTCGGGTCCATTCCCTGCAGCCCTCGGCCTCCCCCCCGCATTCATCGCCCCCCATCGCGACACGCCCAGGTCTCTACACCGAAACCAATCGATGCGCGCTCTTCTCGCGCGCGGAGGTTCTAGCCGAACACCTTCGCATCGGAAGTGCCATGGAGAAAACCGTGCATGACCAAAACTGGGCCAAGTCCCCACAAACGTACATCACATCACGAGTCTGAAGGAATGACGAGGAACGCTTTACGGCTGCTTGCAGAAAGTTTACTGGACGTTTGAGAAACCGACGCAATTCATTCATCGCATTCATCGCCGGGGCGCGTTCTGACCGGGGCTCCGAGGCGAGCCCGGCGGTGGCGACGAGGGCCTCCCTTGAGGCCCCGAGGCGGGGAGCACGGGCGGAGGGTGGCGGGCAGCGGCGTGCGCAGCTGCTCCTCCTCGAGCCCTCCGCGCGTGGACGAGGGAGGAGGGAGGAAAAGGAGAGAGAGGAGCGAGCGAGCGAACCTCGAGGAATCCACCAGTGTCCTGCCTTGACTGAGCAACTAAGCAATCGCCTCGCGCCATCATCGCGTGCAGCTGGATTCTGAGACGGGGCACTCCAACCCCAACGCGGAGGAAAAAAATAGCTCTGTGAACCCTGCCTGCGCTCCCCTTTGGGGCACAGGCCCGCGGGCAACCCCCCTAAGGCACGCAACCCTGCGGAAGGCGCCCACTCAGGCACGAGAGCCACGCCCACCACCACGACGTCCGCGCCCACCACGTCTGCCTGGCGCGCCGCGGCCGTAGCCTGGTAGAAACACCAGCGGATGGGCAGGAAGGGCATCGTCAGCATAGCTGCTCACCAGCACGGCTCCCGAGCGAGCCCTTGCCGCGGTCTCGGCACTGATGCTGCCTCTAGCCTCCAGCTCCGCTAGTCTTTGAGAGCTGCTAAAAAATTGCCCCCGTCTCCTATCCGCGCCTCCCGCGCGAGGCGCTAGGGCGGGATGAGCTACTTCGCATTGTTCACCATCTTCGCAATCTCGCGCTCGAGCGGGCCCCTGGGAGCTGATCCATGCACTGCCGTCGCGCCCTCGTGCTGGAGCACATTCATGATGTATGGGCGGCACGCCAGTGCCAGCTTCGTGTCCTTGTTGAAGTTCGTGATGACCAGGCACTGCTGCTCCACGCCCTCCTCCTTGCGGAGCGGCTTCAGCCTGAAGTAGAGCACCGCTTCCGCGATGGTCTCCATCTCGCTCGAAACGATCGTGTTCTCCCACACCTGCTTGGCCTCGAGCGCGTTGGTCCTCTCTCCGTCTTGGCCCTCTGCCGCCGTGCGCTCCGCCACGTACTGGAAGGCCGCCAGGAACACGTGAATGCGCGGAGGGCCTCGCTTCTTGAAGTGCTCCTGCGAGGCGCCGGACTCCTTCATGGCCTTGCTGCCCTCCTCGTATTTCTTGCCTGCCGCCTGCATGGCCGCGGGGAGCCCCCGCGAGAGGGGCATCATGAAGGTCACGTAGACCACCGCCGCCAAGTCGGCCACCGCGCGAGCCTGTGCCAACACCAAGCGCCCAATGGCCGTCACCAACTTCATCAGGTCGTCCTTCTCGCCTTTCTTGCCCCGCTTGGCAGCGGCGCCCCCGGCCGCGCCCGCCGCCGCGTTGCCGCCTGTCCCCGGTGTCGGAAGGCTGGACCACGACGGCATCTCCAGCGGCATCTGTTCCAAATGCTCGCGTAAGATGCGCCGCCGGCGCTTGCTGCAACGTCGACGGTAGATGGCTGAGGAGATGGCTACAGTGGGCTGGGAGATTCCCCGCTTCATGTCCACGCAGCGGGCACTTCAGGGACTTGGGCTCTCTGAGGGTCTCATTGCTCCGCGGCGTGGCCCCCAAGGCTCCTTTGTCGCATCTCCCTCTCCGAATCGCCGCCTGCAAGTGACGCGCGGCCGTGATGCGAGTCTTGAAAACCTGTCGGCACCCGATGCAGATATTCGTCGGTGTCAGCACATGCGCAAGATTGTGGAGGTGGTGTTGTTGGGTTATATGTTTGAGGAGAGAGGTCTGGGTAGAGAAACAAGCCCCACATAGCTCCCCCTCGTCAGTCCGCACTTCGCATCGAAAAGGCCCTTCCTCGCCCATCCCATCCGTCGGCGCATGCAGCCCTCCAGCATCGGGCCCACTTGAAGCAGTGGTAAAGACGGGAGCGGCGCAATCCACAACCTGACCTCTGCTCGAATTCCGTTCCGATGCACCCTCCTGTTCCCACGTCGGCGGCGGGATCTGCACAGCATTCAACGCTGCGCGCAACCTCCCAAAATCCAAGGCCGTGAATTCTGAAGACCGCTCCACATCAGCAAAAATAGTAAAGTCCTCCAAAATCTCATCCAGGCTGCAAGAATCCATGATCGGGGCCGCAGCCCACAAGTCCGCTTCCATCTGGCGAAGCCAAGGTGAAGCCGAAATCGACGGCCCCCCCCTCACAAGCTGCGGTGCAGTCGACTCGCGTTCGCCCCTCAGTACCCCGAAGAGTGCACACAAAGGTTGTACATGCCCCGTCGGATTGCGTGCCCAAGACTGATACCACTTAAGCCTCCTAATACGAAGGTCAACACGACTGCCCGAGAATCGCCAGTAACGCAAGACCTCAGGAGTGGTCATACTCACCTTGTGTCCGGTCGACGTTTCGGCGCACGCGTCCCCTAGCATCGCCGTCCTGCAGAGGGCCGCCAAACAGCCGTCCAGCTTGCTATAATCCGGCGACGTCAACACGAAAGGTTCAAGCCCACTTAAGAGAGCGTTGCCCACGAGGCCCTGCAGGAGCTCCCTCCGCCACTTATATGGCAGGCCCACCGACCACACCCCTCCCAAGCGAAAGAAAGCCTGCCGAGCCGCATCGCACCTCCGAGGGATCTCGTGGTGTCCTGTAGACAACATATTAATAAAGGGGCCCAGGTATCGTACACACTCTCGTACCTTGCCCCGACATGGCAGGGACCCCTGGGCGGACCGCTCTCTCAGGATCGTCTTCGCAGGCCTAGACTGACTCGCAAAGTAGAAAAGCAATTCTTGTTTATCAGCGTTTTGACCGTAGCCGTACATCCCCAAGAAGTCGTCTAGCGTCTCGTCGACCCAACTTAGTTTATGTAGGAAGTCTGAAACCGTGTTCCCAGGATCGGCCACCACAAACTTGTTTAGATCGTCCGCGTATTTGAGTAGACTTAGGTCAACTGATAGTTGTTGCCAGCTCGATATTAAAACCTTGGCCGAACGGTCGTGCGTAAAAACGTGGTGTCCCCATGCTGTTGTGGCCCGTCCGAAAGTTCCCAAGAAACCCTGCACGGTGAACGGGTCCCCCATCACACCTCCGCACCTAGGGCGTACGCAGAACGGGCCGTCGCACGATTCCAACTCGATGATCGCATTCCTGTACCGTTGTCTGCACAAGTCGGCATCGTATGGGGAGGCACACAAAGATACTGTCGTATCCAGCTCCGTCCATAAGGAACTCGAGAAGGCATTGCTGAGGTCTTTTAGTGACATGCAATGGGTACGGCCCATCCGTCGTAGTCTCCAACTCGTCACTTGTGCTGTGAATATGGCGTCCTCCCTCCTCCCCTCTCTTACAAAACCATGGTCTTGGGCCGTCGGTGTCGCTTGTAATTTGGTCGCAAAGAAAGCCTTGCCCAGCGTCGGAAGGACGTGGATCACTCTCTTGCCCCGTGGCCCTCGCACATGTGATTTGTGCAGGCCTACCCCCCGTGACTTATTCCAGTAAAGCGGGATTTCTCGATGCTCACGGATTTTGTACAAGCCCAGCTCAATTAGGAACCAAAAAAATGGTGTCCTAGGCATCTGTCCCGTGTTACCCACCCCCCTGCGTTGTCGTACCCTGTAGTTTGGCCATAATAGTTGTTGCCACAATTCCAAAGGAGCCGTGCCGACGGGA